GAAAACATCTAACGATGATGGCACATCAATTGTTCTAAAGCTCTACCAGGACGAAGGCGCATTAGAGGAACTGAGACAAATGCTAGAGAATTGGCCTATCAGTTTATGGAGAACTGGTGTTACCATAGGTAAGTTTGTCAGAATTGGCTGGCTCTTGAGTAAATCTTGAAACTGATTGATAGGGTAGGTTCCACTTTATAGGGTGTGCAGGGTGGGTTTCATGTTCCAAAAATTGGGAAACTGTTTCCGACAGTGATGAACCTAGAACCTACCCCCAAAACCGCTCATACCTACTGGAGTCGTTCTTAGCTTGAGCCAAAATGGGTCGAGAGTGGCCAAAAGGTTATATTTCTATGGTTTTCCTTCCTCTTCCATTTCTTGGCTAAGTTTATGATCTTTTTTTATTAAATTCAACCTTTTATGATGTTTCGTCTTATCTTTTTTGTGTCATAAAAAACGTTCGTGAATCAAATGTCGTAGTTTCTTACATAAATAATTAATTAAATTTGAAAAAATGACTATCATCATCTACAAAATAGTTAATAGTAATTATTAATTTCCACGTGAAGTGCAAAAAAATCGTAAGCCTTAATATTATTGCCTTAAATGACAACTCTAATAGTATTGGTTCAAGTCTTGTTGGAAGCATTTTAAGAGAAATTCTGAATGCACTTAAAATTGTCTAGGAAGATGGATCGTTGAGGTACGCGAAAATTGGAGAAAACAAGTCATTTTTTTCATAGAGAACAAAACAAAAGTTATAAGCCTAACATCTATACATAACCAGAGAAACCAAGAATGCAATGGAGCTTAAATGACATCGACCCTCACTTCACCCCGCTCCAAACCCGAGACAAGACTGTTAATAGAGAACTCGTTTGCCTTGGGCAAGGCAAAGCAAAAACTAATGTGAGATTTTATAGGACAATTGCTAACTTTTTTAAAGTTTAAATTGTTCGATGAAGACGCGGTTTAATATTTATTACCTTCACAAGTAGGCTGGACTTTGGCCTAAGCCTAGGTGTGGAAATATATAGTTAGGGAGGCAAATAAGGGCATGAAAAGATTTTAACTCAGGATCTCTTACTCTGATATCATGTGAGATTTTGTGGGATCACTGCCAACTGTTCTAAAAGTTTAAACTGTTATATGAATGCGTGATTTTATATTTAATTACTCTAACAACTAGCTTGAACATTAGCGAGGCTCATGGCTTTTTGAGCGAAAGGACCAAGCTCGGTATGGACCAAAGGAGCGGAGTCCAAGTAAATGGTGGCTTTTTGTGTGGGTGTACATAACCGGGACAAGTTATCTCGGGTGCTCGACGGAGAAGACGAGGGTCCATTAGGTGGTGATGCAAGAGTCGGAGACGTTGAAGGAAGAGAGATAAGGTCGGGTCGAGGGTGAACATGGGGTCATGGTCACTAGTATGGCTAGGAAGATTATGGTGGGGAAGCATCGAGACATTGTTGCAGTTACGAAGCACGGTTCGATTACCTTGCAACACCAACGCGAATGGCGGTTGGTCTCTTGTAGGATCATGGAAATGGAGGATATGGTTTGCTGCACGATTGGCATGTGCTTTGTTCTACTAGTCTATTTGGGTTGTGACTAAACCTGTCAAAATGAGCCATAGCCCAATTTTTAACCTACATTTGATGGACTAGGTCATTATTTGGTTAGTTATGTTCAATAAATAGGTTTAGAATGGCAAAACCCAAAAATAAATTGGTATTAAATGAATTCATAGTTTATTAAATAAACTCTTTGTACTATTTCAAGTTCTAAGGCTGCGTTTAGTGGGCCGGATAAAACTTCGGATAGGATAATTTTTATCCTATCCGGTGTTTGGAGTGACTCGAAATCCGGATATGACCGGATATAGCCCGAATATAGTTCGGATAAAAAAATCCCACCTAGGGGTTGGGATAGACCCTAATAGGATATGTGAAATTTGGAAAATTAAAATTTTTCTCTGTTCCTCCCCATTTCCCTTTGTTGCTACTGCTAAGATCTGGCCGGAGCCATGGCAACCACGGGAAGATGAAGCCGACTAGTTCTGGCCGGAGCCATGGCAACCACGGGAAGATGAAGCCGACTAGTTCTGGCCGGTGATGCCGCTGGTCCATGATCAACGAGGGGAGATTTGGAGCCAGGGTCCATGGCCGAGCCACCATCTTAGTTGTAGCTGCTCACATTCGTTGGCCGTCCATGGCCGAGCCACCTCTTCGTGGTTGCTTGCATGGTAGTGGATCTTAAGCCTTCGCATTGCAGATTTCATTCTGGGTTATCCATTGAGAGAGCGATATAGAAATTGAGAAAAGCTATGAAGAATAGAAAGGAGCAGGCAAAAAGCTCAGGGGCTGTCTGAGATTGTTTTCATCATCTCTAAAAAAACTGCCCCGTCCCCTTCATTTCTTTAAATCCCATCCCATGCTCTCTCCTCTCTATTCTACACACCTTAAAGACCCCGATTTGATAATATCGTCCTTAAATGATCAACCCAGTAACTTGACATCTCCGGAGAAGTGCAAAGCTAGGATTTTTCTCGAGTTCAGTTATTTATTGAAGATCCACACGATTGTCTATCTCCAGCAAAGAGATACTCGGTTCGCCTCACTTCCCAGCAATTTTTCTACCTAGTTTTTAGAGTGTTGTTTTCTCTATGGAAGCTGAGTTGAGCGACACCGGCTTCCTCTGCTTCACGGCCTCCTCCTCTGCTTCACGAGGAAGAGGGGTTGTCTTATCTCCATGATTTATTTTTGATTTTAATCCGACAAATCAAATATTTATTTGGATAATATTTATTTGAATCCATGTTATATCCGAACGTCAACAAACATTAAATGGGATATTTAAAATCTTATCATATCCTTATCCTATCCGACATTATCCTATTCGGCAAAAATATCCGGATAATCAAACACAACCTAAGAAGACTTGGTGGGCTCGCAAAATGGGCAAACTTCACCATTGTTAAAAATATCGAGATAGGTTCCTTTTTTCCCAATTATTATTTTTTTTTTATTAATCTTGTAAGTTTCATTTGTTAGTTATTGGAGTATATATTTCCTTGATTGCATTTGTCATTGTTTATGTAATATTCAAATTTTAATTGTTGTCATTGCAATCTGTGGTCAGCATATATCATCTTCTTCAATATCTTACCTTCTCCATGTTATTTGTTGCCGTAATTTTATAAATTCACTATCAAGTACTAACTTTTTTTATTCTTCGTAATTCTATGCAATGTTGAAAGCCACTTTTTTAGCATCTTATAATCGAAATAACAATTTTATACAAATAACATATATTCATGAAGACTTTAAAGTGGGTCAACTAAGTGGTAGACCCATCAAACGAGTGGGTCGGGTCGGGTGAAAAATGGCCCGACTAAAATTAACCCATTTATCTTGTTTGACCAAACTTCATTCAATGCAAAATTAGTAATCTATACCTGACTCAAAACATACCAACATGTACTCAACTTTACCCATATTATTAAAACACATCTATATTTAATCAAATCTAAGAAAACTCATACCCAAACTAAGGTGAGAGTACAGAGTGAGCGAGCGCAAGATTGAGTGAGGGTGAGAGAGAGTCATAGAGGTGGATAGGGTCGAAGTAAGCTGTGAACCCATTTAATACCCATATTATTTTGGATTTTTCCATATTAAACGAATTTATGACTCATTTATTGAATATAATTAACTCATATAAAAATTCAACCCATTAAATATGGATTAAGAAATGAGTCTATGAATCATTTGGACGGGCCTACAGGGCAGATATAAGTTGAATAAATAAGGATGTATTTAGTAAATGGGTTGGTTGGATACAGTTCTGGTTGAGTATGGCTCACTAAATTTACATATAAATGGGTCAAAATGGGCTAAATGGATCAATTTGGGTCGGAGATGGTCCGACCCAACCAAAAATCCAACCCGATCCACCCATATAATGGTCCTAGTTATGACTCAATGAGGCTTTCGATTAATCTAGTTCCTAACTTGTGAGCAACTCTAGTTTTTTGTCTGATCTGATAGTGGATAAAGGTGACAAAATGGGTCTAGAACCCATATTTTAATCCATCTATTAATGGTGTGGGTCATAAATAAATTTACTTAAGTTTTGAAAACAAGTTTAAGTGGTCATATATGGGTTAGTTAACATCTTAATGGTCTTAAATATGTTTTAAATGGGTCATAAATGGGTTCGTTAAGTGAGCCATAGATAGACAAGTCATTTTTTTAATTCTTTTAATTTTCTGATTTTTCATAATTTTTTATATTTTAATTTTTTTCTTTTTTCTTTCTAGGAAATCCAGCAGGGGTAGCCGATGACTCGCCGACTGCCATTCACTGGTCGTTGTCGAACGCCGCCGGTAGTCACCGGACGCCGCCGATCATCGTCGGTCACCGGTCATCAGTCGTCGCCGGACGTAGAAGATAAAAAAGAAAGGAAAACGAAAAAGAATATAAAAATATTTTTAAAAATCACATTTTTTTAAAAAAAAAATTTATAAAAAATTGTCCACAATGTTTTAGCAATATATATATTTTTAAAAACTTATAAGAAACATGTTGAAGTTTTTTAGTAATATGGGTCGGGTCAGATCGAATATGGGTCGCTAGAATTGTATTGTATGGAAATTAGTCAAAACGGGTTTTATGAGTCAATATGAGCCGGATCATTTTAGACTCGATTCAAATCTAACCCGACCCACCCATTTTACATACCTAAGTAGCGGGGGAAGCTTTTCTTCCAGCTCGTCGGCTCCACATAAAATTTGGCCCGCCTAGTCTCTCCGTGGCTGGTGATCGATATCCTTTTTTTTTTGGGGGGGGTTGTGGGGAATTGGGCTCGTTGCTTGTGTTATCAAAATGTTTTTGGGCCGGCGAAGCCCGCACCTATATATCCAACTTCTTACTCGTTCGTCGATCACCAGTCAGTTCGAGACCGAACGGCGGTGTCCCCTTCTCTTCACCAGCGGAGAGACACCCACTCCCCCCCCGCTCGGCCATGGTAAAGTCGACGAATCCACCCTTCAAGTTCCATCTCTGAATTCCCACTCGTTTCTGCTTGTGAATCACTATCATCCCCTTTTTTCCCGGAATTTCTCTTTGTATTCATCTCTCCGTCCTTCGTCTCGTGACGTTTCTTCTGATATACAATGAAGGCTCAGAAACCCATCACCAGTCCCGTGCCGATCTCGTGGTACCCGACGCTGTCCGTGTTGATGCTCGCGATCGGACTCGTCATCGCGGCTTCGTTCTTCGTGTAAGGCTCCCGTCTGATCCCCAGGCACTTCCCCGCAAAAGGGCTGTTTTCTTTTGTTTTTGGGGCGTGCTTGCATTGAGCTATTCTGCTGTTCGGATCCAATGAGGACATTCTTTTCCATGAGTCGAGCGTTTTCTTGAGTTGATGATATGAACGATCAGATGATGGCATTTGGGCTGATTGAAGGCCATGAGGGTTTTTCACATGACCCTTTTTGGAGGAGTAACTTTGATGCTCTGATCTGGGAAATAGAACTCTAGGAAGAGGGGCTTTTTGATATGTGCAGGTGAGTTACCATTTACTTGCGTATTGGAGTAAGTGGCACTTACTGCGCCTTAATCTTCGAGCAAATCATTTCTCTAGGCAACGGCCAACGATGTCGCTCTTGTTGGCTAGTAGTTTTCTTGAAGCCATTGGATGATAGCATTTAGGCATTCTCTGTGAAGAAAGGTGAGTTGGGATGCAGGTTGGTCTTTAACGGGCAATTTAATCGCGGCTTTTAAGGATCGGTCAAATGATTATTATATTCGAGTTCGCGAGGGAACTGGGTGAATAGTATGAGTTGCTATTTTCATTTTCCATGAACACGAAGCTTTTGTATCGCGTATCAACTGCTATATAGATTCCTACGTGCAAATTGCGAAATGCAATGTGTATCAATCCTGTTTGTTCAATAATTTGGTAATACTTACCAGATGCCGACATCTTCTGCATCTCCTGTTGTTTTTAGTAAAAGGATTCTTCAGAACTTGATCAAAACAAGGCTATTTATTCCGAGCCTCTAGAATATTTTATTGGGTAACTATGGTGGTCTTTTATCCTGTCTATTTGAAGGCACGGAAAACGCTGTTTAAATGGACTTAGATATGAGTGCACGAAAGTCCCTTAATATAAATTGAGCACAGAGTGAGCAAACATATCCTGTTGGGTTCCTTCATGGTAGTGGAGGCGAAATGGTATCTAGATATAGTTGTGGACTTGCTAGAAGGTCCCTCATTAAAAGCTGTGCATATTGGTGCACAGCCTGGTTTTATATTCCCTCGCGTCCTCGGTTTAAGGTTATTCGACATAGGCTTCAATTGAACTAGTTGTTGCAACTTCAGTGGCATATGGTGCAGTTGTTTTTCCTCATGGACAAATTGAAGAATTCCCTAATAATGATGAGGGTCGGTGCTGCATGGTCCTTACTGCAAAGCTGTCTAAATTTGACATTTTCCTCATGGATGGTTTCTGACAAGAGTACACTGTAATTTGCTGTACATCATTCATAGTTATTGTACTGTATATGCTAGAAACTTTCATGTCGTTAATCAGTATACAGTTTTTTTTGGCTAGAAATCAGTAAACAGTTGTAAACATGCTTTGTTGTTTTTGAAGCTATGAAGCAACCTCTTCTAGGCGAAATCGTAGCCTAGCTAAGGAGCTTTTTACAGGAGCTGTGGCCTCCATCTTCCTGGTATTTCACTTCATCTTTGGTCTTATTATACTGAATAAATTTGTTGCTTCTCCCACATTGCATAAAATTTCTCATATCCTATTTTTAGTTACAGTCCTCAGCTTCAGTTAATAACTATAATTAGCCATTTCATTGTCTTCTTCCGTCATCCTTGTGTCAATGGATTTTCTCATTGTACTCAAGTGAACCTTTTTTTTTTTCAATTGAATTGATGGTTATATCATTCGATTGCAAAGATTGACTATAATGGTAATCCGGTAAAATACCAGAACTACTAGTTCTTATTGCTGATAACATGTTTTTGCATTTGGTGCAGGGTTTCGGGTCGTTGTTCTTACTCCTCTCTTGTGGCGTCTACGTCTGATACAAAGCTCTGTAGCTTTTACGCAGCACGTATTCTGCGTCAGATGGGTGATTTTCCCGAAGCGGACAATTTAGCATGAGTTCATGATTTGGAATGAGGTCGTTGCTGTAGAAGAGGGAGAGCATACTTATTAATAATAACTCGTCTATATGCGGATGGCTGTTATCTATCTTGGTTAAATGTGCTTGGCGTAAATTGCTTCGACCCGTTGATTTTCAATGTGCAGCCCCTTTATTTGCTAATCTGATATGATAATGCGCTCGAATCTCCGATGATCCGATACCCTGATCAATTCCGGCTATACGTACCGGGACATGATCTGATATACAGAATGTAGAAGATAAGTAGCTGGTGGTTTCTAAAATAGCTGAGTTTGAGAAGCCTCTTAAGTCTTCACTATGCACGAGTTCCTGAAGAGCACCACTCATTAACATGCAGTGACATAGTCATTCTAATCCTCAAGACACACCGTGCTTGTATACGCACATAGCCAAGGAACCAAAATGCCCATGAATCGTGATCGCTTGCTGGTCTCCGTGACAAACCGAGCAAGAACACAGCACAGACCTCAAGAGTTAGACAATCCCGCTTTCTCGGGCGAGATCTCGAACTCATTCTGCTTTCTTTCCTTGGCTCTGAAACATCATTAAAGGTCGGATTTATCTTAAAACGAAATTGAAAGGGGAACTAATTAGAATCTATATAGAGTATATTTGGTCGTGGGTCGCCAAGAGGACATGAAGAACACCATTCATAGAAATATAAGATTTTGGGCCGTGCTTGGCCCATTTTGGCTCGAGCTAAGAACAACTCCAATGCGTGCATAAATGCCATGAAAGAAATAACCAAACATCATTTTTCAATTTTTTTTCGATTTTGACTAACAAGGATCTTGTTTATACGAACGAAAAACAGGAAAGCTTTCGCATTCGAATCCTCCGGTTTGTACAGTCTTCATCTTATGATGATCGATCACGACTCTCCACATAAACTTAATTATAGAAGTTTAATCTGTGTTTCTTTCACATTTTAACTATACGGAATTCACGCATTGTGCTGAATTAATAATCATTATAGATAATCAAAATCATGATCTAAGGAAAGGTTTGAAAATTTCATAAATTATCTTGCAACGACATTCGTAACGTTTGGTACTTATTCTCTTAAACGATTTTATAATCCTTGCATGATATATGGATTGCATGTATTGGCAAAGCTACACATAGAATGCATTTTTCAATAATAACCTTCTTGCTAATAATGTTCACTGGACATTGGAAGATGTTTGGGAGAACAGTTGAAGAGAGAAGTGTGAAAAGAAAAAAAGAATAAGAAAGGGAAATAGCAATCAAAGTCAATTTTGAGTATTTGGGTTGGACTAAAGATACACTCGCAATCCTATTGTGATTTAATATTCTAAAAGAAAGAAAATAATTACTACAATATGGACAAGCTTGAGTTCACAATCGAGGTTAAGATTGATAAATTTCTTTTATCGTTGTCATATATAGATAACTTCATGGTTCCGGATATAATGAAAAAATATATTTGAGCCAAAAAGTAGATTGGTAAAGAATTTATGACATCATACCAAATTGCAGCTTCTTCAGACGAGCAAGTAAGGAAGGAAATCTCAATTGTTAGCCATGTTATGCAAAACTCTGAATACCGGTTAAAGTTAAACTATATATATTAGGAAGCACATTAGAGAAAGCGCTGAAAATGTTGCCATTAATTGGATTAATATAGGAGACATTAGTAGAAATTAAACAAAGAAACGAAAATTGGGCTATACCATTTAAGTCCACGACCTTTTAATTAATCGAATCCAGGTGCTCCGCAAAATTACCAAATGCCCAGAACCTGCACAACTGTATCAAAACCCTTCGTGGCACCCTTAGAAAGTTTTTTTCTTCTTTTTCTATTTATTCTCAAATGATTAAGAGACCGACCCATGCGATGCGCTAGCTTCGCAGATATTTAGAGACGCCGGTATTATTTTCCAAAAAAAATAAAAACAAGATCAAAGATCAAATCCTTTTTTATATTTTGGATTTTCTTTTTTCATACCTAAAGGTAGGTGAGAAACTGAGTGCGCAATTTAATTGGGGGCATGTGTGTTCGATACATCGATTCCCACGTGGCGCATCGGTGTTTTTGGTCATGTAACATTTTTTCTGTCTGGATATTTATTTGATTTTATTTTTGTTTCGATTTTTTTTTTCCTACCCCTTAGTTTAAATTTTCCTTTTGATTTTTCACCCTCCTTGGCCAATCATGTTCGGTTGAGGCTGGGAATGATCCAGCAGCGATGTAGACCTCATGATGGACCAATCGACCAAAGTTGGGTCCACGGACATTATTGTGGGCCCCGTCGATTTTTTTGGTTGGGTCCATCGTCGGTTTTTGCAAAAAGTGGGAAGTTAATGACGTTATCGCTTTCCAATATCTAATCGAGGAGAAAAATTTTGAGTCAGTTCAAGGTTCGGGCAAAACTACGTATCGTGCTGCCCGCGCCGCCCGCGCGAGAGCATGTGACTACAGTTCACGCGAGAATTTGACTGGAGTCGATAACAAATGCACGTTGAATATAATATATAAATGATCTATGATCAACTTGCCTTCCATAACTAGTCACATGCGGTCACTTTGCCAGATATATAAGAAAAATTTGGTTAGAGCCAACGGTAGGAGGCACATGGCCAATGATTTAAAAAAAAAGTCGAAGCAAATCGCGAAAATTGACATGGCGTTGCCCCACAATCCCAAAATCTTGAGGAGGGGAGGGGACCAAATGTAATTCTCCCTTCCGTTAATTTTGGTTCTAAGGATCTAGAACAAGATCCAATCTAAATTATCTTATATGGTGCTTCATATCATTGTCGATGAAGACTTTTCTTATTGGTAAAAGGATTAAGCATAAAAGGAAAAAAAAAAAAAAAGGGAAGAAGTTTGAGTGAGAATTTTAGGGTGTGTTTGGTAACTTGCCAAATGGTGACTGATTCTATTCTTTTGTTCCAGAGAACAAAAGAAGAACTGAAATCCATTTTGCAAATTTTTTGTTCCCGGGCACAAATTTGTTCTCAGAATCAGTTTTGGAACAAAATCAAGAATAAAAAAAAAGTTATTTCTTGATTCTGGAAACAAAAATCAGAAATGGAAAAGAAATTTTTTCTTCTTCTTCTTCTTGGTTGGTCTTCTTCATTTTTCCTGGCCCGTGGCTGGTCGCCGGTGCTGGCGACCTGGCCATGGGCCAAGGAAGGGGAAGAAGAAAAAAAAGAAAAAAAGAAAAAAAAGAAAGAAATATTAAAAAATTCAAAATATTATTAATAAAAAGAAATTTTGTACAGTTACCAAGTACAGTTTTATTCTTTTTCTATTCCAGGAATAGAAATTTTGGGCATTTACCAAACTCTTTCAAATGCTTAGAAATTATTTTTTAAAATGGAATAAAAAAAATCATTTCTGAGTAGAAATTGTTTTCAGGAACATAATGGCTACCAAACACACTCTTAGTCACTCAATTTCGACTTCTTAATCCTCTCGACGCCCTATATATAGTCACACAACTTGCCCCTTGAAAAGGACCTCTTTTTTCATGACTTTTCTTCATTGGTGATGGACTTGAATCCAACGATCTCCCAGCAAAAGTCATTTACCTTCATTCTAAGAAATTGCAAACAGGAAGTACAAGTTCGAGCTCATCAAGATATCCAGTTAAACACATCTTCATGCAAAAACTTAAACCAATAAGTAATGAGCCAATTAAGATATATTAACTACTTTATACCATACTAATTATTCGATGAGGGACATTTTCAAACATAGCTTACACGTGCATCTCAACAATCTTGCCTTCATGTGTGAGCTCGGTGTCAGATCTGCTCCTCCTTATTTCGGGAATTTTTCTGCGTCAACATGTCTCAACTTGAATCTTCAATACCCACCTTCACCCATGATATCTTTCTTCAGACCGAACTAGGATTACATTACTACACCACAATGCTCGGGCTGCCCGAGAACCACTATTGCGACCTGAATTTTCCTCGAAAGGATAAATAATATAACCTTAGCTAATGCGCACAATTTTTTTTTCCTTTTACGATACATAACCAAAATTCCAATTACAAAATATAAACTTCTACTTTTGTTGCACACTTTGATTTAGTCCTCGAGATCTGTGGAAGCGCTAATCTTAATTAATATCCATAAATTCCAAACTCCAAACTCGACAAATCTGTAACATTTTTGGGTGAGCTAAGCTCATCAAATGCAAACTCTAAGTCTAATGAAGGAAGTCTACTGACCAATCGATCTAAGAGCAGAACAACATAGTAATTGAGTTTATACTTATTCCCAATTAGGCAAATAACACTCAAATGTATGCCAATTTACAAGATCCATCCCACCAAGGGCACTTTTACACCAGATTGATATTACACCAAAAACGTTTAGAACTTGATCAAGAGTAAATCAAGACTATATTCACTCTTATCATCATATTTACATCAATTTTCTAAAATTCCAGTTGAACAAAATTGCAAGATTAACCCAACATAATTTCTCATTTTACGATTACACTTCCTATCTCAATTTTCTCTTAATCTAACTCTAATAATCAAATTAATTAGCTAAGACCATTGATTTGCTATTTGATCCATCTGAATATCTTATTGACAGATACATGTCCCAGAATTTGTAATATTACCAAAACAACCACCTTTTAAAATAGGGAAAATATCACCAAAAACCCCAAACTATGCCACTTGTGATAAATTTGCCCTGAACTTTTTTTTGTAACACGAAAAACCCCAAACCATGTCACTTGTGATAAATTTACCCTGAACCTTTTTTTGTAACATGAAAAACCCCAAACTATATCACTTGTGACAAATTTACCTTGAACTTTTTTTTGTGACACGAAAAACCCCAAACTATGCCACTTGTGATACATTTACCCTACGATACTTTGGCCCATGGGCATTTTCATCCTTTTCCTTTTTCTATTTTTTTTTCCTTTTTTTTTTCTTTTCTTCTCCGGCGAGGGTAGCCCTCACCCACCCAAGCGAGGGCAACCCTCGCCAGATTCGGCGTCGGGCGACTTCGCCCGACTCAGGCGAGGGCTACCCTCGCCCGATGCCAGCGAGGGTCGCCCTTGCCGGAGAAGAAAAGAAAAAAAAGGGAAAAAAAACAGAAAAAAGAAAAAGACGAAAATGCCCATGTGTCAAAGTATTGTGGGGTA